TCTGATACACGAATATACTCTGGTTTTTCCTAACTAGTTATTCTTTCAATCTAAATTTTCACTGACAATTAAAGCATATTATACTAAATCTTCCTTTCCAATTCTATTCGATATAACCGCCTTTTGCCTTTACTACAGCTTTAAGTCGTCCTTGAAACCGTTGGACAGATTTACTGAGTTCTTCTTGCGGAATTTTCTCCTATTCTGTAATCAAAGCCTTCCACAGAGATTCCAAATTTCTATGCGGAGTAGCGCAGGCTCTGCTCTGTAAAGTCCCCCAGACGGAATAGTCAAGTGGATTCAAATACGGACTTGAAGGAGGCCATTCTTCCTTGGACAAAAAGTCAATATTTTCCCCTAAATCCAGGATTGAGTTGCTTTCGAGGCATACGCTGGCGCAGAGTCCTGCTGGAATATCCAGGGTGTGTTTTTGAACAAGGATGAACCAGCAGATTTGATTACAGGCTCAAGAATCAAATCTCTATATGTTTGCGAGTTAATTTTGTCCCCTTGTGGGACAAAAATCAACTTTGTCCGAGAATCTGCGGACACCCCAGCCCAGACCATCGCAGAAAGCGGTCTTTGCACTCGATCGATGATTTTAATGCTCTCAGGGATGTCTTTGCATGAGGACGCAATAATTCTATCATTTTGACGGTTAGTTGCTTCTTCTATCGTGAAAATCTTTTCGTCCGAAAACAATATCTGTTCATAATCTTCATTTACGAGGCGCCGCAGAAGCCTTTTGCACCATTCAAGTCTTTTTACCCGAAGAGTGGGAATGAAATGATGAACTGTTTGCCGTTAGAGTGATTTAAGTCTCAGGCCCTCATGTATCACCTTTCGCAATGTTTCGCGATTAACAGAGTACTCCCTGCCATCTTCCGGATTGACCGCCTGGGATTTCGGCCGATTTTACAGCGGAGTTTTTCCCTTAGTGCTCTCGTACGAACTGTAGTCGGTCGGCCAGAACGAAGCTTGTCCTCCACACTTTTGGTATCGTTATATCGTTTAATAGTACGATAGATGAATAATCTGTTGATCTTTTCACTTGTCAGCTTTTCCAAAATCTCGCTCTGTGTGCTCCCAGTCATAAATAATGAGATAATTTTTGACCTCTTTACTTCCACGTTGAAATTTCTGACTTTATGCATATATAGATTTAGATTACTCTTTGAGCATAACAGAATGACATATGTTAGAATATAAATGATAGAAATGGTAATATAATACATTTGAAACGTATCAGATCTATCGGAACTATTTATCAGAACTTAATTGTCACCCTGTACATTTATTCTGGTAAAAATGTACCAGTTTCTTATTACCGACGATTATAGAATTTCCCATCAAATACAAATACTGTTATTTATATAGATATACATTGGAACCTGCATAAACTGACACTCGTTGGGATATGAAAATTTAGTCGGATTATGCAGGTGAATTTGTATTACCATCGACGTTATTTCAGATCAGAAACACTGGAATTTTAGAGGTCTTCTGTACTATACAGGCATCGGTTTATGCAGGTTCTACTGTACGCCTTAATGCTCTATTAAAACTACCTTCCTTTGTCAGGATTTTTCAATTTATATTAGTTCTCCACAGATTTTATTCAATGGCACATGAATTTATCAACTTGGATATTGAATCATTCATGCTTGATGACGACGATGATGACCCCATTTATTCACTTAAAAAATCCACTCTATCACCCGAACCAATACTCACTTCAGATAATTCACATCCCAATCAGGATCATTTGAGGGTTTTAAAATCAGAATTTGGTCACAGTCAATTTAAGCCTACCCAATGGACAGTCATCAGTACCATCCTTGATAATTATTCTCGCCCGAGCTCAATGCTTCAAGATCAGTGTATTGTAATGGCTACTGGATTTGGTAAGAGTCTTTGTTACCAATTTGTGCCAGTTTATAAGCAATCTCTAGCACTGGTGATTAGTCCTTTGATTTCATTGATGCAGGACCAAGTTCGCTTGATGGAAATGCGTGGCATTCCGGCTATTTTCCTCGGATCTGGACAGGAGAATTCTTCTCTAGCCTTAAGTCGTCTCTATCAGAATGAATTTAGATTGTTATATATATCACCTGAATATTGTATAAATGCTGGACCTGAATTTATTGCAAACTTACACAAGCAAGTTCCTATATGTTTGGTAGCTATTGACGAAGCACATTGTGTTTCATCATGGGGACATGATTTTCGGCCGGAGTATGGGGAATTGTCACAACTTCGAGAATGGTTACCAGAGGTACCATTTTTAGCATTAACAGCTACAGCTAGCGAGTTGGTTAGAAAAGATATTGTTTCACGATTGTCACTTCGAAACACAGCTATTCGTACTTCAACACTTAACCGTCCAAATCAGTACTTTGAAATTCATCAGAAATCTAAAGATATTGAAACTGACATGAAGATGTTACTACATAGCGATAATCCATCCTCTCTTTTGAAGAAATACACATTCAATGGTTCTTGTATTGTATATTGCATTAGTAGGAATGCAACAGAAGAGGTGAGTGGTGTCTTGAGCAACATGGGGGTAAAATGTGATTATTACCATGCTGGATTGACTCCAAAAAGACGTAGAGAAATACATAATAATTTCGTTCGTGATGAAATTGAATGTATTATAGCGACTGTTGCATTTGGCATGGGCATAGACAAACCTGATATTAGATTGGTTATACATTACGGAGCCCCGAGAGAAATGGAAAGTTACATGCAGGAGGCAGGACGTGCAGGGAGGGATGGTCTACCTTGTAGATGTGTTGTATTTTACTCAGCTAAAGATTTCAACATTCTACAACGCATTGTTCTTAGCGGTCTTGACTGGAATGCATCATTGAAGGAGCATCGTGCAAAAATGATGCAAAAAATGGAAAAGTTTCTTTGTTCATGTAGTTGTAGACGACAGCAACTATTGGAACATTTTGATGAAGTCTATAACCCTGATGAAGAAATTCACTGTTGCGATTTTTGTACTCGGAAGCTACGAGAAAAGAAGACAGGATTAAACACATTCAACGCTGATAAAACAAGAGATTTCACTCAAGAAGCTAAATTATTACTGGAGTCTGTTCGTTGTCGTGATGGTAGAGTTGGTGTTGGACAGCATGCATACTTGTTAACTGGGTCTTCACAAACGTCCGAATGGCTGAAGTCACATCACCTATATGGTACTGGCAAAAATAGAAATTATAAATGGTGGATGGCTTTTGGTAGACTACTTCAATACGAATCATACCTAGATATCAAGCCAGTTAGCCATGGATATGGTTCTACAATTTCCATCAGTCAAAAAGCTAAAGATTTCCTTGCAAATTGTGAAATTGGTAAGTCAGATTATGTTAAACTTATCCCTACACCGGAAATGGACAAGGCAACTGGTCACTCAACTATATCATATCCCTCAAAACCATCTACCTCTAATCTGCCATCTTATAAAGTTGTACAAATTAATACTAACACAGTTTATCAAAGTTCTCTACTATTACCTCAAATATCAAATGAAATGTCTTACGAATTAGTTAAAAGAAGTGAGGAATCTTCACAAGACGAATTGACACCAGAACAAGAGCAAATGCAGCAAAATCTATACCTAAGACTACTAGTTGTGAGAAATCAGTTAGCTTCTAAATTTGATTGTGCTCCCTACATGATATGTTCCAACAGACTAGCCACTAATCTAGCCACAATAAGGCCATCTAATATTGAAAACCTCAAACAGATAGATCTTGTATCTCATATATTCTGCAACAGATATGGAGAGGCATTTTTAGAAGAAATCAAGAATTTTTGCGTTGAAAATCCAGAAATGAAAGCTGATTCATTTACTAAAGCGCAAGTTACACTTGAAAGATCTCCACTTAAAAAACGAACTGTAGCCAACCCCGACCTCGATGGATTGAATCTAGCTGTGTATGAGAGATATTCCAAAGATAGGTTAAGTATTGCGGAAATATGTGAGCATTACTCAATGACCAGTGATATCGTGTACTCCTGTCTGAATCAAGCATTAGACGCTGGGTATCTTGTTGATTATCGGAAACTAGGGTTGGATCAAGGCATTGAGAGATTAATTTTAGATGTAGTAAGGGCTCCACCTATCAATTCTGACCTCTCAATGACGAATAAAATCAAAGATTTATTGAAACATTTACCAGAATGGATGATTGATATGTCACTTACACTAATTCGTATTACCTTTGGGATGAATGTAATTATACCGACAACCCAGCAACTTTCTCAACACATTCAAACTAGTTCTAACACTTCACAGACTTCATTACCACTTTTGGAACGTAACAGTAGTACTTTAACAGTGAAACCCAATTTTTCATCACAGATTAGTGTGTATCCTGAGACTCAAGTAGGTGGTGCTACCAAGGAATCCTCTGAATCGAGACCAAAGAAGAGAAAATTACCTAATTGGCTCTAGTGGTTTTTAATAATCAACCTGAATTCCACACTTCACGATTTTTATTCCCGAGCGTTGGCTCGTTGCATTGCGATTTTACATTTCTCACTTATTTAATAGATTGCAATTGCAATATGGAATTGTTTATATTAGCTATTATTCAGCGTTATTCGTCATAAATTCAATTTTGTTACGTAGTTATTAATTACGTATTACAAGAGCACTTTGCCGCCCTTGATCACCTCTAATATAGCGATTATGCCAACATTTGACCAAATTATGGACATATGGTACAATAAAGTATACCAGGATAATGAGGATATGAGTTACAAATACAAATCCTATTTCCAATTTAACCTTGGCCATGAGACAATACTTACTATTTTATTATCTTTGTAATTATTAAGGATAAATGTTTTATATTTAACATAACAATAATTCGGTAAGGTTTTCCTTATATTTAAACTCAACCATAACATGTACTTTCATTATATAGGAGGGTATTAATACCATTTAAGAGATGGTTATTTTAAGGAGGCTAAGTATTGTTGTTACTTCGCTTGTAGCTCATTTGGGAGAGTATTTGTTTCACATACAAAGGGTAGTGGGTTCGATCCCCATCTAGTGGTAATTTACAACATGCGCAATCCTCCTTTTTAGTATTTATGCAATTATTTACCAGTACTCCAAATAGACTAGAGTTTCATGTTTATGTAATAATACTCTTAAACTGCGAAAGCTCTTCAACGCCACATAATTCGAATGTTTACCTACAGGATTGATGTCAACAGGAAAAATGATTAAAGCACTAGTAATGGTGGATGGTTACTGATACTTGCATAGTTACATACGTCACACAATATATTTTTGCATATTTATGCAAAACAGTATTCTCAATTGTTAATGAGAAATCTCAGCATAGTTGACCTTATAAAATACTTGATAATAATGTGACTTATACAAGTCTAACAGTGTCAAAATCTGATATTTCTAGGTTATCCTAGACGTTTAATATATAATACCTTCAAATAGATCATGTATAGCGTATTGTATGTTATACCCGTATTATACAACTTACGTCTATATCTTTTGACAACTATTGTAAGACTACAACAGTGAATAATATGTTAATATAATAGCCATACAATATTGTTTCAATTCCGCAATGTCTTTCGATGACAATTTGGCGCAGCTCGATAAACCGCTTTGATCCAAAGCACAATGTGACATTTTTCTGGCTTTATAAGGCAAAAACTTGAGCAATTGAATTGTTATAGCGAACAAACTTGGACTCTGCGAGAAAGCGTGTCCCGCCCCTTTGTTCACCAAACCCTGGCGCTGCTCCTGCGGCCATTTCCGGTCCATTTATCTATTACTGAACCACTATATCCGGAGCAGAGTTGCCAATCCAATCACATAATTTTCGATTGACCGATTGCTACATTTTCTATCAATTCGATTGCAATTGATGGATTTCCAAATACATACAAAAAATATATTTTTAGGAATATTGTGTATTAAACCGAATACTGCCGGGAAATTGTGTGATTTTATGACGTCAATAAGGTGTTAAATTCTCTTTTTCCGGTGCGGGAATTGGTTAAAACGATGTGGTAAAAATTTGGTGTTCCTTTTCATTACGAACGTAACACTTCGACTGTAATCAGTTAAAAGGGATTTGAGAAAAATTTAATCATAATAGAATCTATAAATTAGATATCGATGAAGAAATACACGTAAATACATGCAAATAGATAATTAATGGCAAATATTAGGAAGGTGAAAAATCCTCCAATATTGTGAAGCAAGTAGAAAAAGATAAACACAACAAAGAAGGCAGAAATGTTGGTAAATATGCCACTGATGGAAAGAGAGAACTCCTTGTGCACTGTAAACATCATCCTCATAAGTGAGTAGAATACGAGCCCCCAGCCGAACCCATATGACAACGAAAATAAAGCAATAGTGAATATTGGCCAAAATGCTAATGTATGACATAATTGTGAGTATTCTGTATTACAGTATAGATAGTGCTCAGATAATAGATAATAGATTGCCATAGAGATGTGAGAAGTGGCTGGGAGAACAGACGCGATTATCAAGAGCAATTTCAATTTGCAGCAATTCATAATTAGGATACATACTGTTGCTCCAATAATCAAGAATATTGGATAGAAGAGAGATACTACTTTAGGACCCATTACTTGTTGATTCTCTAGAATATGAGAAGAGAATGATACCATAGCTTCATGACCTCCTAACTCTTTCAGTACTGCTAATACAGACAATATGATAATAGGTTTCAATACTTTCCAGTCTTTCAGTGCTCTGAAACTTTTAATCCAACTAATTTGACCTACTCAGTGTCTTCCCCTTAATCTTCTGTATTTCAGTATCTGCAACAAACTCACTACCATGTAAATACAAGAGAATTGATTTAGCTTTATCATCTAAACTTTGTTTCACATACCATACAGGTGAAAGAGGATTTATGACAATCGAAAGACAATACAAACATACTTGAAATAATCCAAATACTGCAAACCATCTGAAAGACAGCCAAATTCCTGCGAAATATACTATGAACAATCCTATTCTAATGCTGAATCCGAATCCTCCACTCATAACCTTTCTCTGATTATCCAAACTTACCTCTGCCATATAGGTAAATATGAATATCACAGCAACCCCTGTATAATACCCTACTAGTGCTACACCTATAATCACATACACAGCTGAATTCGGTATGACTATCACCATATGCCCTGTTACACCAATCACGTAACATAGTGTAACTAGCAACTTTTGATTAAAGCCAAATTGAACAAGAATAGGGGCAGAGATTACACCCACTATTCTTGTGATATATGAAATTGATGCAAATATTGGCAAAGTCTGGTAATTCAGAATATTTTCTTCCAATAATTGTTTTTGAGTTGGAGAAGTGAACCGAATTAAAAATGCTGCTGTTAATACTCCAAAATAGCCTGAAAATACTGAAAGTATGTTGGAATCTCCTGGAAATTCATAATATGTTACCAATAGGGATAATTTAATGAATTAATTACTGATATATGTAATATACAAGGACTTGAAACCGTTTAAGTACATACATAGTAAATAGGAAAGTTATTTTAGAGCCATATCAATATTCAATAACAAAATTATCGGCCTACAAGATTTTATTCGGAGATTGCAATCATAAGCAATTATAATACACTTAGTCCCAGGTAAAAGAATATTTTGCCGATGAAAACTTTGCCATTTGGTTTGGCTTAGTGTAGAGCGTACAAGGTGTGACAAATTTGATGCCCGCACCACCTCTACTATATAACATACTTCAAATAGCTTTTTTAACATTCTTTTATACCTGCATGATAATAGTAGTAGTTAATGTTAATGTGATAGGATCTGCTAATTCGCTCTGTGAAAATTCTGTATAATGAACACATTGTTTGCGTACAGGATTATTGCCTCCAACCTTATTAGCACTCGTACTGATAGGTATATCAGGCAATCACTGGCAGAGCATTAGCGCTCCTCATTTTTAGAGCTTGTTCCCACTCCGCGCTCCTAGCCTTTAAATGGAGCGACGCTCCATCCCCGCTCCCACCCTCGTTCCTTACATAGAAAAGGATCGCACGCTATCACTCCTGAAAAATTATAGAGCACTCAAATCTTGCTCCTATTGTCCTTTCAGATATACATTAGATTTGTATGATAAGTAATAATTTGCATTATATAGGAGAGGCGCTGCAGTGTGTGCGCTCCTCCAAAAATGGAACACAGCTTCGCTTTCCGCTCCTGAATCATATATTGAGATCGCTTCTTTAATGCTCTGGTCACTGATACTTACATAGTTATGTAATTTAGTACATCATACAGTATAATTTGATACTTTTGAGAATTTTTAGAATTCTTCTCTTTCCTAGTATATGCCCTATATTATTAGTATTAGATATAGTCATATAGACAAAATTGACTGTACCTTTTATTGGGTAATTTGAGTATTATACAAAAATCTAAATTAATTGATTATTTTCCTAACTAAACGTAATATAAGTGATGTCTTTTAATGCATTAATCGAAGGGGCATATACAACCGGGTGGGCTATAATAGCCCCCAAATTTTAGGGAACTAAATAGGTTTCCTATTATTTTGGAGCTGTCTTGCTATATATGTAAACAGGTTGAACATATGAATATACAATGCTCAATTTTATTAGGTGCATCGATCTCCAAACTGCTTATCCTCAATTCTTTCCCCTCATTGTACTAAATTGATTTTCCGCATACGAGAGTTAGAATGAGTGTATGCCATTAATCATAGATATGCATTAATTATTAACGAGTCTCTTTGCTTACTCGCCGCTGCGCGGCTTGCGAACATTTTGTGTCCGTATAGGACTCGACACTTCGTGCCTCGAATTTACAAAGTATAAAATTGCAAAATGAATTAATACATAAATATTTCAACTATTTGTCTACTATATATTAATAAAAACACCAAAAGTTTACATATGAGAAACTTGAAAACCCGAAATTCAGATTCAGCGTACTATGTTACCCCCATGTAGCCGATAAGAGCAAGTCTCTAAGTACATTTTAAGATTTCAACTATTTGTTTACTTTATATTCATAAAAACAACAATAATTTTACATATGATTAATTCAAAAGTGTGAAAATCAGATTCAGCACATTCGATATATTGGTCAAGTTTTAATACTTTCTGTTATACACGATAAATACATAGTTAGGCGACATCTCTATATTGATAAATTCGAATTAGATACAACATTCCATAAATCCTTCCCTTGACAACGGGCAAACAAACAAACAAATAGGCAAAAATGACAATTTAATAATATAGATTAATAACTTATTTGAATAGTTGGTAATGGATGATGATGATGAGATATTATCAAGCCCTGATGTATATTACGAAGATGATGTTTTAGGTAGTGAATCAGATTATGATAATATAGACTGTGAGAATATCCCGCAACTATCACTAACTACTGAAGCGGATAATTGTCAAGTTACCACTCAAACAGCTTGCTTGCCAAACCAAACAACTCAACCAAGTCCCCCCCATTTTCCCCCAAATCAATCTCATCTTGAAGTTCTCAAGTCAAAATTTAATCACAACGAATTTAGAGCAAAACAATGGAAGATTATCAGTGTAATCCTAGATTACCTTAACAGTAGTAGGGATCCTTCTAAAATTATCGATCAATTCTTTATAGCCCCAAGTGGATTTGGTAAAAGTATATGCTATCAATTCGTACCAGTCTATACTAATTCTCTAGCTTTGGTAATTAGTCCATTGAAATCTTTAATGTTGGACCAATTCCGTCTCATGACCGAATCAGGAATATCTGCTGTGATACTTTCTCCTACTAGTATTAAATCTGGTAAAACATTAGCACGATTATTTAATAGTGAATTTAACATTGCGTATATTACGCCAGAACTTTGTATAAACAGAGGACAAGAATTTATACTAGATCTACATAGTAAAGTACGCATATGTTTAGTAGCAATAGATGAAGCACATTGTGTTTCATGTTGGGGGCATGATTTTCGTCCGAAGTATGGTAGGTTGTCACTGCTTCGTGAATGGCTCTCAG